TATTGATACAACAGCAGGTACAATAACAGCAACAAATTTAGCAATTAGTGAAGTTGGAGCATATATTATTACAATTGAAATAACATCATCTAACAATCAATTTTCAATACCATTTACTTCAAATTGTATTTTAGTTAAAGAAAATTCAAGTAAGTTGTTTTTTTCAAAGAAATTATTCGAAATATATATTATAATTTATAATATTCAATAGCTGTACTCAATGTTTTTACTGGTTTTCCTCCATCAAATTTCACTTATGCAGGTGATTATGATGGATTCCAAACAGCAGGTACTCTTGAAATTTTACGATGTACCATCTATAATTATTTGGTTCGAGTCTTGAAATTACCTATTAATAGTGATATTACTCTTAGAAAAGGTATGTTCAATAAAAACTTTAAAATTGTTTTATTTTTTGTTGTATTTAATGGAATTGAAATTTCTAGGTAGTGTCGAGGTTGGTTTTTCAGCAGATCTTAGTAGTTTTATTAATGCTCAGGCTGCAGCAACAGGTAGAGAGGCAGCGATAAATAATCCGAATGGTATAAATGGTTTAACACTCACCGACATTAATCTTGAGGGTCAATCAGAGAGAATTTCATCAGATTCAAGCTCAAGTAGCAACGGTAGTGGAAATAAATCAGGATTAAATGCTGGTGCTATTGCGGGTATTGTGGTGGGTGTTGTTTGTGCTGCTGCTATTATAACTGGTTCAGTAATTGGTTTTTATAAATATCAAACAGTACATAAAGCTGTACCTCTTGTAAATGAACTTGAGGAAGTACACACATTTCCAACTCAATCAGAGCAAAATAATGCAAATAGTACAAATCCATCGAAAACAGTCAATGATAGCTCTTCTGGAACGCAACAAATGCCTAAGACATCAAACGAATCATCAAATTTTAATAATGATAGGGTTCATACACCGTTGTTAAATGAAACAAATGGACAACGAGCTCCATCAGCAGGTGGTATTAGTATCACTACGCTTGGTCTTATGACAATAAATAATCAACCACCTATAAATCAATCAATGCCAGCTGTTGGACATTTCACAACTCATTAAATTGAACAATCAAATACAGACATTTTTTTCCCTCTTCTATTCATTTTAGTTTCCTTTCTCATTTAGTTTTTTTTTTCTATTTCTAAGTAATTTACAAATAAATCCCATTTAGCTCTTTCTAATAAAGATTACAGTATTCTTTTATTTTTATTATTTGTTGTCTGAATGAATGATATAATGGATATTTTTAGTTTAGAAGAAGATAACAAAGAACCCGAAAAATATTCATTGGATGATATCGTAAGACAATGACTAATAGTTTTGGATAAAAAAGTTGCCGATGATATGTGGTTTTTGTAAATATATGATTTTTTTTTTACAATAACCTAAAATGTTATTTATTCTTTTGGTAATTATGATTTTATTTATTTAATTACATTTATTCTTATTGTTTTCTTTACAATGAAATAAAACTACAATAAGGAATCATTTAGTTTTTCTTTCTACAAATCTTATGCTCTATCTTGTAATCGAAAAAGATTTTTGATTTAAATCCTATGCAGTAGCCAAGTTTCTTTTCAATTCGTTTTTTTTAATCATTTTTTGATAGTAGAATTCTTAGTTTAGCTAATGTAGTAGAAATAAAATGAAAATTATGAAATAAAAACTCTGTTGTATAAAGTAGTTCATCATTAAGCTATATTGAAGATAATCTTTGAAATCAGTACATGACAATGAGCAATATAATTTGAATTTTTTATATACCTTTTCTCATAATGCTTGAAGTATCGTTAATTGAATAATATTCCTTTAAAATGTAAGGGCAATGAAAGCTACATTTTGATTAAATCTATTGATGCAAGAAAACGCTTGAATAGGTATACTGATTTAAAATAAAACAAATTTTAGTACTACAATATAGTAAATCATCAATTGCACACATTAAACTATTTACGATCATTGATATGAAAACACTCCGATTGACAATCAAATCATTTGTATAAACAAACAGTAATTCTTTGACGAACACTATTATAGATTTTACAAGAATAGTTAATCTATCAATTATGATAATAAAATGGGATAATAGAACGTAGACGATCTGTTAATTTCTAAATATTACTTTTGTCTGTAAAATGATTACCTTATTAAAATACTTAAATCCAATTTTCGTAACAGAATCAAAAACAAATGAGAGAAAAATAAGATAATTTCAAATACATTTTTTATTATGTCTGTAAACAAAAAATATAACTCATATTAATATCCCGTTTTCACTATAATTATAATCTAATTGATGATCTAATGAATAAGTGTATGCTATTATTCAGCTTTTGTAAGAATGCATGTGAGCAACTTTTTTTGACAAACCTTCGAAATGATCTCATTGTTTCTATTTCGAATTAGATAAAAAACATTAACAGTTTCCCTTTCATCCATACACCAGTTATTTACAAAGACAATTGTCATATAGCGTGAACTTTACAATGACAAATCACTATGAAAGTTTCATGAATAATCTACATTTAGCAAAAAATATCTAATCGAACGGACTTGGATAGCTTCTGTCAATATTCCTTTCTAAGGATTTTATTTCCTGATCAATATTCTATTCTTCTTTTACTTGCTGTCATTTTTCTCACTCATTATCATACTCTCTCGCCCTATAAATATATATATACATGTGCGTGTCTCACTCTGCATATGATCAAATAGCCTTAGAGTCACTTATTTATGTTCGTGATTATGCGATGTTTTCAACAATAAGTAGACGCTTGATTGTATTGTGCTAACATATGTGTTGTGATCGGATGAATTTAACGGTTCTAGTAATTTTAAGATTAAGATTATTCATTCTGTTGAATCTAGAGTGATTGTAAACTTAATGTGTAACAAATCCATACAATATGTTATTTATCCATATGTTCTCTTTTTAGCTTTGTGTTCTAGATCGAAAATGTCAGATAATACATTCTACAGTACAATTGAGTTGTTATAAGTAGAATTTTGACAACAATTCTTTGAATATTTCAAACCAAATGATTGATGATACTCATTTCGTGGTTTAAGTAGAAAAAAAAACTTATGCAATCATTGATCAAACAACATTATATTTGAATTTTACAAATCGAGGTACTTATGATCATTTTATGAAAAATATTTTATCATCAATAAACGTTGTTAATGTTCGATCATTGTAACTTAACAAAGTCAATGAAATACGACATTTTTTCTCGAACGTGTCTCTAAATTCATTGGTTCAATCTTGTGTATTATCATTACATCTATCATTAAAAATTCTATTTTGGTACCATCAGGAACTTGGTAATTGTTATAAAGAAAAGAGGATATGGATGTGAATGTGAATGTTAATTGAGAGAAAATGGACGCTCATATCCACTATATCCACCCCCAATCTAACCTTAGTATAACATCCGACAATAAACACTTTCACAGACCATTTCGGCAAGAAAACGAGAAATAAAATATGCAAAATAATTACAAACTCCAGTTCGAACGTTCTGAAGGAAGCAAGCTTTTGTTCGTCGGTATGGCGGTCGGTAAGAAATCCTAGACTAGATCAGTCCGACCATTTATCGAGACCTCCTGCAATACCGCTCAAGACGTACAGGACATAACTATCATGTTTTATTTTTTCTTGATATGTTATATTCTAAAAGTTTCATTACAAAGAAACCTCCGCAGAATAGAAATATATACGTTAAAACTTGGAAAAAGAAAAC